TGCTATAGGGCATGTGTGCTCACCAGAAAGACAGAGAGAGACAGAGAAACAGAAAGTGAAAAATCACTCTCCAGGGGGGATGGCCATGCCACAATTCCTTCTCCTCCATTCTTCTCTTGGGATCTTGGGCATGCAAGCACACACGCCCGGCGTAAGTTTAAGCCATCTGGTCCGGGACTCGAACCATGGTCAACTATATGGGAGTCCAGCAACTTTGCCATTACGCCAACTGCTGGTCCCTAGAATAGTTTTTCAAACCAAGTAAAACTTAATCTGCTTTCTTAGTAGTTTCTGCCTAAAACTATTTAGTTTGTCAATCAGAGAGGATGACCTGTGAAAGACTGGGAAATGGAAGACTGCTTCCCCTTTCTCTTTTCTAGGTCCTTTGGGCAGTGGTTTCCTTTATATTTTTGGTTAGTAAATATATTTTTAGAAAATGAGACTTGTGAATTCTATACAACTTTCATTCCTTCCAAAAACCTTTGGATTTCAAGGTCTTATTTTCAAAAAAATCTAGACTGACATGCTTTTGTTTTGTTTTCCCCTTTAATGATTGATATGCATAAATAATATCAGCCTTATATGTAATTATACATGTACATTGACAGATCTGAAATACACTAGAATACACCACTGAAATACACTAGAGGCGTTGTGGGCTGGCTATGACACATGGTGCAAGCCACACTCAGCAGTGAAGAATGTGATTGTTTCTGGCTTGTACTTTGCATAGGGAATGTTAACTTTTCTGGAGAAGCAACAGAGAACCAATGTGAGGTATTCTGCTTTCCTATGGGCAGTTGGGCTCTTACAGATTGCATCCTACTTTATGAAATACAATGGCAAATGTAGGCACATTATTTAATTAAGTAATAATTGAGAAAGCTATCATTCCTATTAAAAGAGCAAAGCTAATTCTGGGCTGATAAAGGCTTTGAGCTGCCCTAAATAGGTCTTAATTAGCTGGCACCGTGTGGCTCCGCCTTTAGGGATGGATAAAATTAATGAAAGCTAGCAGCAAATAGATCAATGTTTCAAGATATTCCTGCCTCAGGTGAAGAGCATGAGAAGAAAGGGAGTAACTTAAAAGTGACGCCCTTTTACACAACACGATGCTCAAAAGTCACTT